TATAGGTACATATTATGTAAACAGATAACAATGTTGTATTAGGTAAATATATTATAATTATAAAAATTAGAATTTAAGATTGAAAAATGGAGATATTTGAAGATAAAGGTTGGTGCCAAAACCATTACTGGCCATTAACATTCTCAATCTTTAGATGTTTAGTCCTAAATGGTGGCACATTTTTGAGGTGTTTATTTGAAGGTTCTAATCACACTACAGTGAACCATGACTATCTACCTCTCGAGGATGTCCATGATATATACATCTAGCCAAGAAAGATATAGACAAGACAAATTGTGAACAGAAGACAGAAGACATCATAAAATATTAATATAATAGGCATATAAACGACGATAATAACGATAATCGTATCGAGTGTAGCACATGAAGTTGTACTTACGTTAAATTTGAAAAATTTAGACTACCATCGCTTAGCGGTTGGCTAAAACTTGGTCGGCTGGGGCTACAAGTTGCATTAAMATATATTTTATATTACGATTCACGAAAAGGTTCATAGGTAGCTGCTGCATGGTCGTCGCGTGTGCAAAAATAATAATATTTAGAGCGCTGTAGACCGCAATTTGTGTATAGTGTATAAATATAATATTATTATTCAACATTTATAGTTAATACGTGAATGRTGATAAACRGTGATTTCRGATAACTTGATATTTGATAATATGGCGCGCACGCGCACAACCAGGTAACCGGTAACGCGGGAAAATAAAAGACTGGCCAAGAGCCAGAGATAAACCGCCGACAGAGCGCACTACCAAGTCTGTCGATTGTCAAAATTCGACTACGCAACTATCACTTAGTAGTTAGTACTTACTACTTAGTAGTAGTAGTAGTAGTACTTACTAGTTACTCACAAGTAACAATAAACAAGTTCTATGCTCACAAGTCAGTAGTCACAACTACTAACAAATTTGTGCAATRTGCATGATTTATTATAAACCATAACTAAACTTTAACTCCTAGATGGTGAAACCGGCCAAAAGACTATCCTAAATCGTAATTCGTGAACAAGGATTGGGAAAAATAASCATGATAATAATGTGATATAGATGCTTATACAAGTAATAAGTATTATAGTAAAAATTAGCTAATGGGGATTTTATCAATAATTTGAAGAAAAAAGTAAGCATTTCATTAAAAAATAAGTGAAATTAATCAAACAATTATGATTAAATCATTCCATGATTAATACAGTTTTACTAGTTCATTTAACTCGGTTAAATTATATTATATATTTTAACAGTTATCGTCTTAAACCTCAAGTATTGATAAATACAATGAATTTAATTGAGGCGTTCCTACCAATAGTTGTCAAACAACTTACTATTTTAATAATATAATATAATATACAGTGTTCCGTGTGGATTTACCCATTGCGATATCTGCCGAAATARTRGTGATATCGAAATTTTGATTTTGTAATAAGACTCGCAGGGATAAGAACTACAATTAATACATATTTTAATGTTTTGGTAAAAAAGTTAAAAAAATTTTTTTATATTTAATTATTTYWAAAAAAGTTAAAGATAGCCATTTTGTAGTTTATTTTTCTGAAGATATTGACGTTTCAAAATTTTATTTTCATTAATTTTCTGATTTTTAATATTTGTTTTAGTTTCGAGA